ATGTGTATAAGAGACAGTATATAGCCAATGCAGTAATGAGTACTTCTTTGAACAGGAAAGGCACAACATCATGATAGTTATCAACTTAACAAGTAACTTAAAGTTAACTACCGCGTACAATATCACTAAATATATCCATCACATGTGCATTACTATTGTCTACCTGATATTTCGTCTTCGTAGCATTCATCTGTCTGTGCAACACGCTCAATGTATGGGACGACTTCAGGCCTGCAATTATGATTTCAACACTTAATGTTATTTAGTTTTAAAACGAAAATTAATAACAAGCATATTAGAATATAATATATATATATATGTTAATTTCTAAATAATCTGATATAAAATGTCCCTAAAAATACATTGTCGTTAATGTTTGAGTGGGTTATACATTATTAGGTTCTTTTGTATTGTATTTATATCTATGTATTTATGATTTAATTTAGCAATCACTAATACAAAGTATGTTAATGTGTATTACCATAAACTATGCTCATGTTTAATATCACATGAAGAACTCGGCATGGCTTCATATTTGTTATATTCCATCAGTTAATACACCTAGAGTCTTAGGCATATGGTAAATCAAAATTATAAATAGGCCTATGTGAATAAGTCTTTTAAATATTTAAAAAAAAAGTGTAGAACAAGGTCAAATTAACTGAAGACTTTAGCGTATGGTGGCTGGAGAATGCACCTTCTCTCTGTCGTAAGTGTGAAGTTGGAATTGGTGGCACTTCAGCGAACTTTGCCTCAATCGTAGTAACATTCTAATTGCACCTGATCCAATGCTAGTTTGTATTTTATACATTACTATTTGTTTTTCTAATTAAATAAAATATTTAATAAAGTTCTGTAACAATGTACAAGTTTTGCATTATGTCCCTACTAAATTAAATATGAATTATTGCCTTGGTATATATAAATTCAAAACCCAGAGAAGCTAATATATAGACCCCCTCCTTTGGGACACCCTTGGACACCCCTCTTTAGGAGACACCCACATTAAGGGGACGTTTTTTTTTGGCCACACCACGAGAAAAGTATATCTTTTAACAACAGGGCCGGCCCACCCCTATTCAGGGGACATTTTTTTGGTCCCGAATGTGTCCCGTTATAGAATCTCTACTGTATCAATATGAACTGCGATATACTAACCAACAACTATTGATTGTAGCAACGAGTTCCATTTTAGTATTACTAGCTAGAGCTGTAACAGGGAAGGATTTCGTTGTTGACGGTTCAAGTTGAGGAAGGCTTGTAACCTGGGGGGTGTTTGTCACATGTTGTGTCACAGAGTTTGTCACAGAGTTACTGATGGTTGGTGTTTTATAATCATATAAAGTTGTCGACATCTCTGATAAAACAAAAAAATGTTATATTTTAATTAATTATGTGTTAACATGTTAGTATTAGTAAAGTTGAATTAAAGCTTTACATATTATTTGATCTTATTTGTTTTATTTTTGTTTTTTGTTTATTAGTATCCAACAAAAACTGTTACTACATACAAAGAGAATGGGAGTATTCGTCTGAAAATCAATATACAATTAGAGAGCAGAGTTGTTGCGCTAAAACACCTACAAACAGTTCCACAATATGGCAACTACATTCATTGCATATAATATGTTCACATTATGTTTACCAAAGTGAAAATTTATTGGATGAATTTAGTGGATCTAATTCTAATTTTCTTGAAAAAAGTGGTTACCATGCATTGCTTTTGTAGTCTGGTCTTGAACATTGATATTCGAGAAGCATAGCACGCCCTCATCTGGCTGACTTGCACATGGTGTATTCTTGCCAACTTTTGTCATTGTTACGTGGTAACCATCTTCATAAATGTGAAAGGTGGCACATCCATTTTTCTTCATCATTACATTTGAGTAAACCGTTTTGTTAAAACACTTGTCCGTAGTGAATATGTTAAGGAACTTTTCTATCTTCATTTTAATTACAATTTCAGTCGTGAAAGTGGTGTTTGGGGGCAGATGATACTTGGCTTTGGTGGTGATGTAGTCCATGTCTCTCTTGCTCTGAATAATTGCTTCCGTCCAGTCACCTCCACAGTTTTGAGTATCGTCTTCAAATTTGAAACAGGAGATTTTATCTAAACAATTAAAACATGATTTAATAAATATAAGGAATAGATAGGAACACAACATTATTTAGATTTTAATTTTAAATATTTATTATGGAACTAGAATTGATATAATCGTTTACTGTAATTATATATAATGGAATATATA